TAACTTCTGAACTGAATTTGGGAATCTTTTAAAAGAACTTTTTTTTTTAATGCTTATATTGTCTTGTGCAGTTTGTTTAAAAAGAAATTTGATCTTTATAACAATGATTTTGGATTGTCAACATAGATATATTGATCTCTGTAATTATTATTGTTAGATAACGATATATATTGGTTCACAATCAGACATTTCACATTTTTGGAACATTTCCCAATATCTAGTCTGTAATTAGACAGTATCAGGATTTCAGAACTGGTCTTTGTCTTCAAAGTATTTGTCAAGTTATGATTGTTTGAATTTAATTAATACTTGCATATGTCTAATCGTCTGTCTTTAGATGATCAGTTCTGGAGATTTTTTTTTTTTTTTTTTTTCTGCCTCTTTTTGCAAGGAAAGATGTTGTAAGTAACCGGTTTGACTTCACACTCTTTTTCAAAAATGATCTATACAAGTGAATTTTGGGGCCCTACAACACAAAATTCAGTCAAATATTTTGTCAGCTTTTTTGTCTGTCTCCCCAACATCAAAAAATGCCCAAGACAATTTTTTTTTCTCTCTTTAAAGTGTAAGTTCTGAAATATTTAAACAATTTAAGTCTTCAAAAATCATACTTATTATAAAACCCAGGTTGTGTGTGTGTGTCTGTTCGTTTATATATTGGATCGGATTTCCTACATTTTTCAACCGATTTCAACAAAACTTCACAGGACTACATAAAATTACCTTGCGGTGGTTCTGACAGTGCCAAAAATTGGAAAAACAATTGTTTTTGCACGAAATCAATTTGAAAACACAATTAAGAGGCATCACTGTTTCAAGAATGAAAGGGGGACAAATATCGAGTTATACTTATTATAAAACCCAGGTAGACTCATAATGATTGAAAACAATGTTTTTCTTTTGAGTTTGGGTTTGATCAATTCATAAAAAAAAACAAAAAAAAACTAATTAAGACATGCGTGCCCGTCAACCTTAATAATCTTTGTCAATTTTATTTTTCAGTCTTTATGATGGTCGATACTTGATCTATCTCTTACTGTTACATCCCTGGGCAACACCGGGCTCTACTGCTAGTCAGAAATATGAAGATCTAGACCTCTGTTCTGATTAAAAAGAAAGAAACAAAATCAAAATGTTGCTTCTCAGCACTTCTGTTGAGGATCAGTGTAATATCTGTGCATTCTGTGAAAAGTGTTTATATATATATATATACACACACACTGCCTGTCTTTTTATTTCCTTACAACAACAAAATTGGGAAAAGCAGAGAAATGGAGCTAGAAAGTAAATAAAGAGCTAGAGAAAAATGAAAAGTTTGAAAATAAAGTGGGAAGGAATAAAAAGACACAGCCAGACAGGCCTATTGTTTTTAATTATTTATTATTCCTTTAAATTGGATGTTTTATATTTTTTTCTTTTTCTTTTGGACATAACATACTCTTTATGCAAGAAAGAAGTCTACCATTTTGTCCCCAGCCCCTCAATCTCCGGCATCATCCTCTTTGGGTTGAGGTGTTCACTTGGTCCGAACCGAACTTAGAGGTAACTGGCTGTACGCTCCCTGAGTACCCGTAGATTATTTTAACCGGTCAACTGGTCAAGTCCTGTTTGCTGCCCACACTGTGTTAGTTTTTAGATCCAGTAAGCAGGTTGTTGTCCATATGTTCACGGTTGACTGGGGATGTGGACACGGCTGTGAGAGTTGGCGGTAGGAAGTTTAGAATATGGCAAAATAAAACAAGAAATAATATCTGCAGAAGCCAGACAACAATGGGGGAAATATTAACGTCTTTTATATAAGAAGATAACATCAGAACAGAGGTTACAAGGAGAATAAAAACATTTAACATAAATGAGAAAAGGAAAAAGAAAAAGACACAATGCATCCAGCGAATTCCCAACAGTGAGAGAGTTTGTGTGTGATAAACGTGTATTGAATCGCCTGGTGTAGGTTTATGACTAGTAGTCCTGTCTCATACAGACTTCTCAGAATGGGGCAGTCTTCCTTCTCTAATTCTCCCGCAAATGTCTTGTGACTTTCTCGACGACGGTCTCATACCCCAACTCTCTCTTCCGTCTCGTTCAACCATCTGCTCCCTCTTCAGTATAACTACGCTGATTTATATAGATGAATCTGGTTGATCATGAATCGACCCTTGGCCCGGCACGTGATTATCATGAGTGCCAAAAACTATCCCTTGACATGTTAACTGATTCTCCAATTATTTACTACGAGTTCTTCTCGCTTCACCAAAGTTATACTTTGGGATATCTAAACATTGATTCAACCTTTTAATCAAACCAAATATCTCGTAGCTTGAGTAATCTCTATTTCAATTTTTAATCGATAAATTTTATTTAGATCATTTTTTCATTGTTTTTTTTTAATGCCCCAGATTTAAAACATCGCCTCCTGCCTGAGATTGTGTTTCTCATTGGTAAACACACCTCTTAACCCAAATTGTACTTTGATATATAAACACCATTTCCACTCCAGTCAATAAAAGTTATATTTGCATGTGTGCATTCATGTGAGTGTGTGTGTGTATATATACCTCTCTCTGTTACAGAAAGTAGGTAGATTGTATGGTATTGAGATATATATATAAAATTCTGCTTATCCTTAGTCTGCATGTACTTTACACTTTGCCAATACCTCATAAATAATGGACTATTCTGTTTTTGACTGTGGAAAGATGGAAAGGACATATCAAAGAGACTATTTGGTTCCAGAGAAGATAGAGGAAGCAATAACATTCTCATCTGCTGCCTGCTTCATTGAAATGGAAAAATTTGTCAATTTCAAATCTTTTTATTTGTACCCTCTTACTTCTCTAATGACCAACCAGCATTCATATTTATGATTGTTATTGCAATAGCGAAATATCCATATGAGTATTTTATAGTTGTTTGTTATTATTAAGTGGAAAGACTGAAGCATTTTTTATTTCAAAAAATTTTTTCCTTCTAAAAAGAACATTCTAAATTTTGATTAAAGAAAACTTTGTTTCTCTTTGTATCACCGGAAATAGTAAAATAACATATAGATTTATAGCACGTTGTTTTTTTTTTTTTTTTTCTTTTTTATGACAGGCATTAATTTGGAAAATCTTGCAAAAATAAAAATAATTGTTGGATGTTAATGAAACTTTCAGAAACTATTCACAAATGATGGAACTTATTATAAATATGTTTTCTTTTCTTTCTTTTTTTTTTTTTTCTTTCTTTTTTTTAAGTAATGGAAAAAATATTTTTTTATATATATATTTATTACCCCCCTCCCACTAACTTTATGAAAACTCTAGAAATTCAATCGCGTTCATTTTTTTCCATAAGTAATTTTATGGAAACTCTAGAAATTCAATACTGCTAAGTTTAGTGATTATATTACAAGGCTTTGAGGAAAGCAAATCATGTATTTTGTTTTTTTTTTTTTTTTTTTCACACACACACACACCTGAAAATCAGCTCTGAATTGTAACATACAAAATTCAATAAAACAAAGATATTATTTAATCTCAAATGCTTTTATTTGCTTTTATCAATATGAACAATATTTTCTGAAAGCAAAAAATTTTTTTGGATGAAAAATGAATTTTTAATACAATTATTTGTTATTTCTTTAATTATAATATATTTTTACATTTAAGTTAAAATATTATAAAATTAGTTAAAATTTGCATCCACTTTCATAAATCTCCTTATGAGATAGATCTTTTTTTTACCACATTGTAAATTGTATCATTTTGACTAATCAGAAGACCTGCAGTAATTAAGAAATGTAATTTTGTGTTTATAATCAGGCTGTAATTATAAAGTATGGAAGACCAACCAGAATACAATTAAATTGCGTTATTTGAGTTAAGCATTGTTCTCGGCTGTTATGGTGAAACACATGTGGAGAAGTTAATTTGATTTTTCAATTTCAACTGAGAAGGGTACCTACAAGTATCAGTATCATCTTATGAAATTTATATGATCTTATTTTCCATAAATGAAATATCAAAATTAATAATAAAATGAATGGAAATACAAATAACACAGTAAAATGTAATAAATGTACATAAAATTATAGCATTTTATGTACAATTTTGATAAAATTTCATAAGAAAGGTACCTATAAATTAATTAGATACCTTTCTTATGAAATTTAATCTAACTCTTAACAGTCTTATTTTAATTTCTTTATATTTTCCAAAAAGCATCATTAGAGTGCTGAAAGTCTTCCTTAAAAATAATGAGGTAAATAATTTGTTCACTTAAATGTAAATAATTTCACTTCTTTCCTTCTATAGAATGAATTATCCTCACATAAGCTGTCAATACGTAATGAAATTGTCATTCATCACCTGTCAAGTGGTGCGAAAGGTTATGACGTGCTTTGTTTTATTTTCTAACTACATCTTTTTGGCGCAGAAACTAAGTAATGCTTGTTTCAAAATATTTTAAATAAACATAATTTCTGATTTTCTTAAAATAAGTTTTGAAAAAATTATAATTGATTTTTAAAAGAATTTCAAACTGAGATTTCATTTTTTTTATAAAATGGTTGACATGATTGATTATCTGTTAATTTTGCTGACTCAAAAAAAAACAAGATTTTTAATGAAAATTTTGGACATGCTAGGAACAAAAAAAATGTAAAATAAATACCCCCAAAATACTTTGATCTTTCCTCTTAATAACACAAACATTTAGACAATAAAATTCTGTTTACGTCAACTTTGGCATCTTTTTTCGTGATCTCATGGAGGTACCTATATAAATAATTTTTAAGTCAATTTATCTTTCTTGTTAACCATTTGGGACAGGGTGTTTTTTTTTTTTTTTTTCGTTATTCTTTTTACAAGCCAAATTCTTCAGGAGATCTAAGCCAGTTGTATGCAGTTAATATTATTTTCATAGGAAGCAAGATTTTAGCTTGCCTGAAATATCTTTCCTATTTTTAATTTTTAAAATGTTTATTTAGCTAACTTTTTGTGATTTTCTACTTTTTACAGAATGTTGTTCAGAAATTGCTTGACAATTCTTCTGACATCCAATCGATGCTTTTTCCTGTTTCTTTTATATTTGAAGAATATTCAGCACGTCACATTTTTCTCACGTCTTTCTTGGAAAGCATCCATGCTAAATTACCTCAACAGGTAAATTCTCTGTTATTTCAGTTTTCTTATTTTAAGCAATCAATAACTTTTTGTTTTGTGTTTGTTTGATAATACTTGTACTTAATTGTTAATTATGATAATTATAGTTATTACAAAATAATATTGATTTCTTTCTACCTTTTTGTTGAGATAAAAACCAACAATTTTCATAAATTGTATTTTTTTTATGAATGGCAAATATCTATTTAACAAGTTCACTGCCTTTCATTACTGAGCAGTAGACATGTCAGTTTGGCCGTACATATAACCAAGTCTGTTTTCCACATTATACATTATGCTACACAATAGCTTCTATGTTTTTTTATGAGGGATGTTGATAAGTTCTCTGTAAGATACACTTCTTGAAATCTGATTAAATAACCAAATATAAGATTAAAAATATTTTTTTAAGAATGGCTTCTTTGTTTGGCCAAGAACATTTCAGCATCCTCTTATGAAGTGATTTAAGCCATGGTTTGTTATCATCATTGGTGGAACTTATTGCCAAGTATTGGGGTGCTTGTCAACATTTCCTCCTGTGCAAAAATGATTCCTATGTTGAATCTGAAAAGACGTCTGCAGCTACTACATTGTACAGTAGAAGGCTTCATGGAATGGAGAGCTCTGGCTTTTCTCTTTGGGCTCTCTTCATGTCTTTTAATTGGTATCACCCCAAGCAAGGCAATACAGCCACTAGCACACGAGGGGTTACAGGATGTGGAGGAATTAGGAACAGAAACATTATTTACCTTCTGGTGTTTTTGAAGGATGTTTTTTTCCATGGGATTGTTCTTTTCCAATTAGTTATTTCTGCAGCTTCTGTCTCCCAATTGATGGATTGATTTCAGTCTCAGCAAGGTGTTTTTGCACTGATCGTTAATATAAGAAAAGTTTGAAGAAGAGGACTTTGAGTACAAAAAACTTGCAAATGGTTTGAAGTGGTTCATATGTTGTTACTCCATGGCACACACACTTCAGCTAACACCATCCACTGTGGTAAATCTGGGCTTGACAGGCTGCCAACTTGTTCCTGTACATAAAACGTTGCCTTGACAGCATACTCACCAAGTGTTAGATTGTGATTAGTCTGGTCTCTTCCTTGAATCTTTACCAGCATGGGTGGCTCTACAAAGAGACATAGCTCCCAATGACACTACATTCAGATTCCTCTAGATATGCAAGCTCCTCCACTATGACAATCCACAAAGAATGGTTTTGTTATAGAGTGAATTTAATATCACAACCACTAAAACATGTTTTACTGCATTTTATATATTCACTGTATTTTTTCACTAAACTTATTTCCTTTCTGTAAGAATTTTCACTTGAAAATTGCTAGTTGGGCATTAAGTTCTTTGTTGATAAACTTTGAAACCTTTTTTTCTCTTAAATAAAACCTTAATCTATAAAATATGGTTCTTCTCTTTTCAGATGTCCAATACATTTTTAAACAATGCATTTTGCTGTTTAGAAATGGTTTCCACAGAAATAAACAAAGGTAATTTTCTTTTAATTTTATCAAATATGTGTAATAGTCTTAATTAATCTAAAAAGAATTTATAATTTTTCTTGAAAATTCATTGAATCCTTTATTACAGTAGTTGATAACTTAATGATATATATATATATATATATATAATATTGTCAGCATCAAAAATACTCTGAACTAACATTTATGATCTTAAAAAAATACATGTAGCTTCAAATTTTGTTAGTGGATATATTCATTAATGCTCTTTGAAGTGCTGATAAATTCAAGTTTTTATTTTTCCTTTTAACAGAAAATCCAAGTTATAAAGAGTGTATATAAATATTTAAATACATTGTATTTAGGAGCAGTCCTTCATTTAAACATTCTATTAAGTAGAACAGACAAGAAATGTCTGTTAACCTTTTTGGTGAACTCTGAATGACATCAAATAAGTTTGGAAACTTGTAAAGGCACTTGCCAAAATTGTGTGTTATGTTCCAGATACTTTTGACCATTGTTGTCATTTTCAAGGAAAGGTAGAAGTGGAGTGATAGACATCAGAGCATTTATATTGTTAACAGTTCAAAGTTTGAAATGAATGTTACTTCAGATGCTATTATATATAATATGTATCTTACTGAAAAGTATAGACATTTTATGTCTTAAATTTTATCATCTTTTTTTCTAAATTGCCAATAATCTTTCACAAAACTGTAGATGTGTGAAATTTCCTATCTATATAATTGCCGTGTCCAAGCTTTTGACTCCTGTTACTCCTCATCAATGTTATGAATTCACAACTTAGGCAACCCTGAGGATTGCTCACATGAGTCAAAAGCTCAAAGTTTGAAATTTCATATATCTAGAGCAGATGATTAAACTTAGATATTGACTTAATAAAAGATGTTTAAATGAACAATTGCTGCCTAATTACAGTAAATTATATATATTGTATACAATTTAAATGCATGAATTGATTTTATTTACAATAAAAGTGTTTTTGTTGTAATACATGTCTTTCAACTATTATCTTTTCATGTGTATTTATTTTTTGTATTCTTTGTTTTCTGGTTTTATTATATTATCTGGATGGTTATTTTTAATTCTGTGGTAAAATGTAGCAAAATTATTCATACAGCATATGCAAATGGTTGCATTTTGTAACTCTTAGCTATTCTAGATGAAGTTCATGTTATAAAAAGAAATTGACAAATTAATAATTTTTTTTTATCTGACATTATTTCTTATTACTATAAATGTCAGATACATGGGTTTTGAGGCCAGAACATCCCTAGTATATGCCCACAATCTCTTCCTCAAAGCCATTGGGAACTGCAATGACATTGGGCTTCACCTTCTCAGCATATATGCTGAGCACAAGCCTCTCGTAACCAATACCATCTTCCTGCTCCCTACCCAACAGGAGACCACCAGGAGGCATCCCCAATCAAATCAATGGTACATCCCATTATCCGACAGACTGCAGAGATGTTCTCAACACACGCTCTGTCCTTGGAGCCAAAGGCTGCTGGATGGACCATCAATTATGTCCAAACTCAACATACAGACACCCACACATCAAACAGCCAGTGACACACAATAATTGACTGATCCAAACATGACCAGGGAATACACAGCAGCAATCGAGTGTGATCTTGTGATGCCAACCTCTGCCTTACAAATCACAGATGAGTGGACATCACTTCAGGAGACCATGTGCAAAGTTGCAAAAGAAACCATCAGACACGTGAAAAGATGCCAGCAAGAGTGGTTCAACCAGAATGATCAAGATTTCTCAATTGAAGTGAAATGGAAAGCCAAAATTGAATATTAATCCCACAAATTCCTCCATCTCAAGGCTCATTGCTAACGTGATCTCCACAGCATCCGAAACCAAAGGTAGAGAAACAAGGCAGAAGAACAAGAATATGCCAAACAGCTGAAATATGAGACAATTCTTCTCAGGAATTAATGAAGTCTTCGGTCTTGTCCCATCAGGAAGTCTACATCCATCTTGAATGTGGTTGACAATATCACTGAACTCACTGAGACTTGAGACATTGTAGTGAGATGGCAAAAACACTTCTCAACCCTTTTCAATCGTGACTCCACTGCTGCATCAGCACCTGGTGTGACAACTCTACCTATCATGATTTCAAAGCTGCGCTCAAGTCCATATGATCCTTTAGAACCCTGAGACCTGATAACATCCCCCTGGAACTGATCAAGCATGGTGGATTACTTCTCAAAACAAGAGCCTTCCCACTTCTCCTACGGATCTGGGAAAAGGAAGAAGTTCCATCAGATCTGAAGAATGTGAATATCGACACCATCTTCAAGAAAGGTAGAAGCATTTGTTGCAACTACCATGGCATCTCTCTCTCTCTTGTCCATCACAGGGAGGCTTCTTACCAAAATTCTTCCCAATCACCTCCTGATATTGTCAGAGGACATCCCTCCCTGAAAGTCAGTGTAGTTTCAAAGCCATCAGAGGAACCATCGATATTTTATCTGTGAGACAAATTCATGAAAAGTGCAGGGAGCAGCAAAAAAAAAACAAACCCTGGGAATTATTTTTTATGATCTTGAAAAGGTATTTGACAATGTTCCCAAGACCAGCCATGTGGCAGGTCCTCAGACACTATGGGTTCCCCGAGAAATTCACGATGCTCATCCAAGCTCTACATGAGGGAATGATGGGTTGCGTTCAACATCAAACTGGCCTTTCAGACCACTTCTCAATCCCCATGAAGTTCTACCTATAATGATGATTTCTTATTACTATAAATGTTATTTTTAATGGGTACACATTTGAGTTGTTATCCCTGTTTTTTAGTAGATGGGTCGTTATTAATAAAATAAAAAAACTGGTGTAACAGCTCAAACGTGTGTACCCACTAAAAATAACGTTTATCGTAATAAGAAATTGTCTCGTATAATATACAATTTATTATATTTATAATACTATAAATATATTGTTTAGAATTTGCTATATTTATAGAATATTCAATATCAGAGAACTGTCAATTTTTAATATTAAATAGTAAATATTAATTTATAATCTTCCAATTTAAAAGAAGTGCTGATTGAATATTTCAGGGCTTATATTGAGAGTCAAGTCATGTGTTTTTCTGTTACTGATGCCATATAAACTAGTACTATGGCCAAAGTGGAAAGGATTAAGATGACCTATAATAACCATGTGTTCATACAAGTTTATTCCTGCCAAAGACATGCTGCATGAAGATAGGCAAGATCTGAGATCTTTAAGACCATCTTCATGAATGATGTAAGGAGAGAAAACAGACAGAAAGAAGTGGGTAGACAACATCATCGAATGGACACTGAGAATAGCTTTGCTTCAACTCAGATCCTCTGAATTCTTTGTATTTGATAGACGTTCCATTTTGATTTATTAAACAGTGTTTATTACATCTATTAACCTTTAGAAATACCTGTGATATTTCTTTGTATTCAGAACTCACACTTTTAACTCTCAGTTTATTGTAAATATTTAAATAGTAGCAAAAGGTCTGCATTGAATAAATACCAAAATGTGGAATTTAGATATTTTACTTAGGTAGATTTGTCAGATCTTATGTGTTTTTTTTCTTTCCTTTTCATCTCCCCCACCTCTCTTTTTGTGAAAGGCTTGTATTGAGTAAATAACAGAATATGAAGATTAAAGATTTTACTAAGGTAGATTTCTCAGATCTCTTATGATTTTGTTTTGCTCTTGTTGTTTTCTTTTGTTTTTAATAACTAATAATTTTTCATTTCAATGATTGCATACTTAAAGGAAAGATCAGAATTTTCTTTTTGTTAATCCATATTTTTCAGCTAATTTTAAAACTTACCAAATGTTATTCAGCATATTTTGTGAACCTTATATTGTTTCAGTTTTGGTTTCTGAGCAAGAACAATTGAGTGAATCCACACATAAGGAAAAAAAGTTGCTGAGTAGTTGTTGGTTAGAATTTTTAAAGCATCAGGTGAATATAAAAATATTTCTTGTTGATCATCTCCTCTCCATCAATGTTGGTTTAATTTTTCGTACAAGATTTTTATCCCTTCATTATAGCAATTGTATTAATTTTTTATTCATGTAAATTAACTATTTAATATTTAGCATTTGAAAATTTTGATTTTATATTGATTGTATATGTGTGTGATACTCTATCAACGGGTCACTATGAACGTTTCTGCACTATTTTTTTTTTTTTTTTTTTTTTTCTATCTGAGATTCTATTTTAAAAAAAAAATCTTTTGGACATCAAAATATGAGAGAAAAAATGTCTGATTCATTTACACTATTTTATTTGCAGCTGCCAATGAATTTATACAAGCGTGTGTTGGTGATCATTCCAGACAAAGTGATTCCTTGCCTCACAAATCCTTTGAAACTTTCAGATTTCCTCACACATTCTTACAGTAGAGGTAAATAATTTTAATTTTCTGCATTTCCATAGTTTTATCTGTATCAAATCAAATTCCAACAAATGAAATTTATCCTTTTATTACTCAGCTAAAAAAATATCTTCACTTTGATTTTCATCTATTTTAGGTTAGCACCTGTTATCACAAATATGACTTTCATATATTTTTATCTTTTTCTTTTGTGAAGGTGGAGTCATCAGTCTTTTGGCTCTGAGTGGAATTTTCATCCTTATTGACAAACATAACTTGTGAGTATATATGTGATTGACAGACTTAATAAAGACTCAAGTTATTCGTAAGCCTACATATGTAAGATTTTAATTATTTAAGTGCTAATGCTACAAAAATCTTGGCAATCCATTCTTCACTGTTTCTGTGACATTGGACAACACTGAAAGTAAAAAAGAAAAAATATTACATATTTGCTTTGGCAAATACTACATTGTTTTTTTTTTTAAGTTTACATTATATTGAAAAACTTTTTTTTTTTTTCAACATTTACTTTTTTGTTCTATCTTCTGCCATCTTTCAGGCAATTTTATAATTTCATTTACTTAAGAGAGTTAACGGTGCAGTATCTGGTGAATATGACGAGAGTGACAATTTCTCAACCAACTTGTAACAGTTTTTTTCCTGTTAAAATTATCTTGATGGAATATATTTTTGAATACTTTTAATCAGTTTCTACCTTCAATTGGTCTACTTAAAATTGGTAATTAATTTTAGTTTCTTTAGAAGGAAATTGTAGAATAAGATTCCCTTCAATCCCACTATATGCACAAAATCTTCTTGAAGGTATGAGTAGTTATTGGTGCTTCATTCCCCCCCCCCCTTGATTTCTTGCATTCTGTGTTGTAAGACAATGACTTGCAACTGATGTGCTGTGAAAATTTTTAAAGGTCATTAATTAATATTACATCATTTTGGTTATCCCTTCTTAAGTGTGAATTTTCAAATATAAAAAGCAATAGAAATACTTCTGTTCTCAATATCATATCTTATTAACAATTATAATGTATTGTTCTGTTTGTGTTAATAGATAAATCATAAAATTGCTTTTTTTTTTTTTTTAAACTCTATTTTTGATCATCATAATTAATGTATGCTGCAAGATAAAAATGGTTGGAAAACATTGTTGTGAGCTATCAACTTTTTATTGCCTGTCAGAATTTGTTTCAAAAGTAAAACCTTTTCTTTACACTTAAAAGAATTGCATATGGAAAGTCAGTCCAGTAAACTTTTTTCTGAACTTGTGGAAGCTACACATCAAAGTGACTAACATAACTAAACTTGTGCAACTGATTTTCTCTGCTTGATTTGGATATTTTCAGTATGTTGGTTATAAAGTTGATTATTTTGAAGTTTTGATTTGGTTGCTATCAAATTCAACTCTTTTATCCAACCATGAAGCATCATTTAATGACCTTTCTCTCACAACAATTTGCAAACCACTTGTGACATATTTGATCATTTGCAGAATCTTCTCCATGAGCTGTACAAACATGTTGAAAATGTTTTTTTTAATTTCTTCTCTCTTCAATACTAGAATCAATAAACAAAAATAAACTCAGTCTGGACAAATTAGCCCATGTTGTGTTCCAAATATTGTTTACATTAATGTGAATAAAAACTGGGAAAGGCTCACTGATGCTTTATATCTCTGATGGCCCACTTGTAACTAACTCCCAAAAGTTTTCATCTATTTATTTATTTGCTTCACTTCTTTTTTCCATATTTTTGGAGAAGAGGTTTGCCACCTTGATGATCTCATATGTAGACTTCTTTTGAGCCCACTTCATCGGTGTTCTAATTTGTGTCACAGTACAGGCAGTTTCAAAAATAATTATATAAATAGAAAATAACCATACATTGAATTTGTGTTCTGCTTTTGATGTCCCTGAAGCAAATACAATCTAAAGAAAAGTTAAATCTCAATGTTCTTAACACCATCATTTAAAAAAAAACGAGCATTTTCATATATGTTTCAGGTTTTAATGTTTTTTTTTTTGTTTTTGTTTTTTAACAAGCACAGCATAATGCTATCATTTTTAACAGTGCTCAGTTTTTCTGTATTGAAACATGACATTTTGATTATTTTTGGGCAATTTATCAATGAAAAAATTGGTTAATTTCAGAAATTATCCAGAGTTTTATCCCAAGTTATATTCCCTCATGAATCCTTCTATTTTCCACACAAAGTACAGAGCTCGATTCTTCTACAATTTAGATCTCTTCCTATCCTCCACGTAAGTTTGATTTTATTTTTTATTCTCTTATCAACTTCTTTATCTTTCATGTGGATAATTGCATTAAATCCCATTTTGAGATGGCTAAGAATCTCCTAGTTTCCCCTTGTATATATTACTGTTCAATGTATAATACAGTTCTATATATTTATGCATAAAAAAAACATTATTTTATCTTTGTATATGATACAGTCTGTTTATTGTGCATGGAAAGTGTGAAAAATGATTTAGTTTATTTGACATGTCTTTATTGTTAAGATGATTTTAGAAGCTAGGGCTTCTCAAACCTTTTGAATTAGACACCCTTTTGTTAAAGGAAATTTGCCATTCATAGAAAAAAGACATTTTTGTTATTACAGATGCATGTAAACAAAATTGCCAAAATTCACACAGAAACACATTTTTGATTTTGATTCCCTTGCAAAAATTTTCTTATTTACAAATAAATATATTTAATTGTATTACATGAATGGTACCTTAATATTTGTGAAATTTATATATTATTTCTCAATCTAAAGCTGCACTATTATGAAGAATCAAGTTTTTTTAGTTATGGTTAAAATTTCAAAGATTAGACATTCTCTTTCTTGTGTGGGCAAATTGAATTTAAAATTATAGGGGAAATGTTCTGTTGGATTTGAAGTAATTATTCTTTTTATCTGAAATGATTTCTTACTGTTTACATACATTGATATTTTCAGCCATCTCCCAGCTTACATGACTTCAGCTTTCATCAAAAAACTGTCCAAAATTTCACTGCATGCTCCACCACATGGCCTTATGAGTTGTGTCCCACTTATCTACAATCTTATCAACAGACACAAAACATGTAGAATTCTCATTGACAGAACAGAACAGCAGCGTAAGTGAAAGTTTTAATATAAATACATTGCACCTCAGTCAAGGGTTTGAGAAAATATTAATTCTTAATTTAAAAAAAAATTTAAACCAAGCTATTACTAGGTAAATAATGTTAATAATTACATGTATCTTTACTACAAGATTAGTTTATTCATACTGTCAAAAAATGATGGCAATATTTAAGTAGTTCTGTTATATCTAAAGAAAGCTAACACAAAATAAAATATCACCTATTCACAGCCTATTTACAATAAGAAAAAGGAATGTCGCTTTTGTCTAATAATGCCTCTTGTTGTTGTAACAGAATATCTTGTTACTAAGGAAGAAGAGCTCATATTGCAGGACTAATGAACATCTAAAATAACATTGTTTTATACCGTCCAGGGTTAGATGATAAACTACATCCAACAGCAAGGCCTCTGATCAGGAGGCTTTGAGGAGTGTGGAATCACCTCTTAATTGCTGGTGTTCCTAGGTCCACCCTAACCTGGGGTGGTAGCACCTGTTAGGGTCCCAGCTATGGGCAAATAGTTAACCATGAAACTGAGGTAAAAAGCATTATAAAAGTGTAAAAATAAGTTTTAATACCAGAAATACTTTGTAAAAAATTATTACCAGAAATAAATTTTTGAAGAAAAAAATATTAACAGAAATAGATTTTTGAAAAATATTACCAGGAAAAAAAAAAAAAGTTGTCTGCATTGAATGACCCATTGAGGTTGATATGCCGTAAAACAAAACAAACCAAACCACTGTTTTATATTATAAAGTTTACATGGAAATTTATTTTCATATCAACAATTTTTTTATTCTTCCAGGATTTACAACTGACCCTTATGATCCAAATGAGAAAGATCTTAGTAAATGTAATGCAATTGAAAGTAGTCTATGGGAACTCAAAGTAAGTATTTTTCTAAACTTAAATTAAAAAAAACAAACCCTGTGTAATTGTCATAAAATATCTTAGGTCTTCATGATTTCGTGTAACTTAAAGAGAGATAGTATCTTAAAAATTTCACTATTAAAGATAAAAAAATATTAATCGTCAATATTTCAGACTCTGCAGCAACACTACAGTCCAGCAGTTGCCCAAAAGTGCCAAAAGATAGATCATTTGAGGAATTCTCAAATACCAATTGCAGAATTACTGGAAACTTCAGCAGATGATGTAAGTAAAATATCTTATAATTAAAAAGTGAAAAAGAAAAATAAATAACTGGAAAATAGATCACTTAAAACATTTGTGTAATATTGAACAGTAGACTTTAATCATGAAATAGATAACATAGTAGTCCTTGTCACTATTTTTAATTTGTAAATACATTTTATAAATACACAAATAAATTTTGTTTTATTTTCTGAGATAGATGGAAAATTATTGAATATAATTAAATTACAACATCATTTTGTCTCATAATTACAGATGTTTGGAAGAGAATTGGAATATGGCCAGAAGATTAAAGATACACCAATAAACTTATTTCGACCACAAGGGATTCTAAACAACCAAGATAACAAATTTTCATTTTGGTGCATGGAATAAAATTTATTTTTAAGTAAAGTTGTTGAGTGTTTTGTATTTCAAAGCAATGGTTAAAAATTGAAGAAAGTTTCCCAAGAAATTTAATTGCAACAATGGTTCATTAATACTCTATCAGGGTACAGCACCTCCCATATTACAATTAAAGTGGGAAGGCCACAGTCAATACCAGGGGTGTCTCAAAAGGACAAATGAGTGCTTTCTCTTTTCTGCCACCTCCATCCTTACCCTGGAGGGACAGAATTTGGCTTGAGATAAAACTAGCCTGTGTGAAAAGTAAAAATAAAAGTGCAAAATACTAAATCTAATTTTCATTATTTTAAATGAGTTTAATACATCAATATTATTTTTTGGGAGGTGGGGGGGGAGGTGATTCCCAGAAATAATTGAAAGCTTAAAAATTGCACCCTAAGTTAGTATTACAATGGTAATTACCCCAATATTTCAGCAGCAATGCACTGATGCTGACCTCAGGGTCAGAAATTCAAATTAAAACAGGGTTTTACTTAATTTTACTTTAGAGAGCCTTCACAATTGAAAGTTATGTATTAAAAAGCTTTTCATAAATAACTTTCTTTTTCTGCAAATATATGACAGTCCATATAATTTCACAAAAATGGAAATAACATGGACATTTTATTTTAATATTTACCAAAATACACAAAAATATCTTGAAATACATAAGAGTAAATTTATTCAATAAAATTACCATTGGCTTCAGAATCTCCTGCAACTCTTCTGAATGGTCTCCTTGTTTAAGTTGGTGTATGCTGTCATAATCTTTGCCTTCAGTTCATTTTTGGAATTAACAAGGATTTTTGCCGGTCTCTTGTCTGGCATGGTGCAGAGTCCTGTTGCTAATCATAGGGTCTTCCAGCAGCCACCCTCTTGGCCCAGGGCAGCAGTACCTCCTTAAGGCAGGCCTCCAGGTTGAGTCTGTGGCTCTCTGAGAAGATGAATGGAGGTATAACATACTGATCACTCCAAAAACCATGATGTTGACTGGATATATCCTCCAACTCTTTCTAAATCCTTTGCACTGTCCTCAGATTGACACCCAAACACTCTGAAATGTTCATATTGGAACTTCTGGCACCAATGCCAAGCAGTACAGCATGCTGTTACCAAATTTCTGACGGAGTGAATTTTTCATGGTGCTCTTTTTCTCACAGACGGTGCCCAACTGAATCCTACTATATGGTGTAGTTGACAAAAACAATATGTATGCGCAAAATTAAAAATATAAAATGGTGACAATTTACCCATTGTACCCTGTATTTATAGAAAAGTTACAGGGAAGTTGTGTTATGGTGATGAGAAAGTGACAAACTGAGATATCAGGACTGATAACATTGCAAATTCTTTGGATTTTATCAAGATGAATTGAGAAAAGGGATATGTGGGTATACCAATTTAGAAAATTCCAGGATTTTTCAAACCCTGGTAAAAGGTGCTTCAAGGTTCCCCGGGACCTGTACGAACCCTGCCATTAAGACGAGAGTTAATAACTGTGTCATAAGTATAGATACTGAGTTGAGAACTGATGATGTGTCCTTACTGTACTCATACATGTACTACAATGAATGATGCAAGTTAAAAGTCTCTTCTTCATCTGAGGAGATTTGTTCAGCATTTACTGCCATATAGGAGGACCAAGATTATATAACAGTTCATTACTCTTTTTCTAAGAAAATTTTCCTATTTCTGCTTAGCTTTTAGAAAGATTTTTTTTCTATCCCAATGTGCCTTTGGATTTTGTTAAAACACCTCCTATATATTTAAAATGATTGATTTTAGTATCTCCAGTTTATAATTTACATGCTGGGCTGTTCCTTGTGTTGGGCTTGCTTGTGGTTTTCATGTGATGTATGTATCGTAGTTTATTAAAGGTCTACCGTCATGATTCTTCTTGTGGCTAAGGAGGTCTCCATTAGAGAAACACCACCCTAACAAGTGCTTATACTCTGATTCTTACAGCCATTGTTGATTTTAAAGACACCTTTTATGACATCCGATTACATTCTTCTCAGAGACTAACTCTGAGTGGGAAGGGATCACATTGTCTGAAAGGAGATAATCAGTAAACACAGTACTGGTAAAATCATCAAGAACAGAGTGTGACCCCTGAATCTTTGTGCAACCCATTTCATTGTCACCAACATTTTGCCTGCCAAATAAAAACAAGACCTAATGGATATCCTTGCTCCAAACACTGGCATCCCATTGACTTTGGTGTTTATGAACAATAAGATTAAAGTAGAAAAAAAAACAAATTAATTTTTCTACTTTATCTTATTAATAAATAATTTCATCAAATCAATATCATATTCTCCTTCATTGTTCTCGACTTCTTGCCAATGTTCCGCTAGCTTGTCAATGCCTTGAAGATAGAAATTACTGGGTCTCAATTCTAAGAATTTTGCTAACGAAACGCCTCACACACCGTTGAAAAGCAACCAAAAGAGGTGATAATCTAAAGGTGCTAAATCAGAATATGGTGTGTGTGGTAGAACTTCCCAACCAAGCCCTTGAATAGCATTTTTGGTTAAATTAGCGACGTGGGGGCAAGTGGTGTTGTGTTGACGAAGGCTGTCGTATTTCTGGCCGAATTATTTCAGCTGGATTGCCCTGTTGAGCTGATGGGTTTGTACCATATTTTTGGACCTTACTCATTAAGTGAAGGTGACGAGCAACTGTATCATGGGAGCATCCTATCTGTTGGGCCAATTCTCTAGTGGACAAGTGTGGATACTCATGAACGAGCTCATTCAATTGGTCTTCATTGAACTGAACAGGACGGCCTGAACGTAAAGAGTCTGTGAGGTCAAAGTTCCCCTTTTTGAAGCGTGAAAACCATTTCTGTGCAGTTCTTTCTGTAATAGCACCTTCTCCGTACACAGCACAAATGTCTCGAGCAGCTTTGGTAGCTTTGGAACCTTGATTGAAAGCAAAGAGAAGCAAGTGTCGAAAATGCACATTTTTGTCTACTTGGCACTCCATCATCATGTCTGAAAAGAGGTAAAAATTCAATCAAAATTTAAAAAGCATAAACAAAAGTAGAGAAGTATAAAGCTACAAAAAAAAAATACAGTAAAAAATATTTTACAAGTTAATTCAAATAACAATGGAAAAAAGACAAACAGATTTAACTGACAACCCCATTACAATCATGAGTCCCATAACCCCTTAGGGTCATAAGAACACCACGTGTACTGTAGAAACTTTGTGCACTTAGCAAAACTCTTGTGGAGAGGGAGAAATGAGGGAATTCAATACTTACCTTGTGATGAAAATAAAATGAAAGATATTTCATCTTCACAGAAAATTTATAGAAATGAGTTCCAGTCGACCCCATCTGATTGAAGGGAAGTCAAAATTTGTATATGTGTCTGAAGAGATATATATATATATATATATATATATATATATATATATATATATATATATAAAATGCTAAATAGTTAGCCAAAGACTGTATTTCTCTTCCTTCTTTTCTACCTTGCTCTCTCTTTTGAAGCTGACTGGATGTGTTACTGTTACTTCTACAAGAAGAATAACTTGTAGGCAACATATAGTTTTTTTTTTTTCAATTTGACACAAACGATTGCCACAAGATCATGTCAGTTACAAGTAAGAATTCGTTATCATTTCTTTTTTTTCTGCACTGAGTTTTGCTTCAAATGTTGATAGTTGCCATTATAGTTTTTCTACCTTCCCTTTCCCGTAACAGTCACTTAAAATTCTGACTAGCACTGCAGCTGCAGTAATAGTGATGTTTCTTGGGCAAGATAACCTGATGGAGGCCAACTCTCTCCAGGCTGTTCTGAATTCAGAGTTCTTCTCCTAGACTAGTTGCCAACCAAGGCGATAGGACCTAATCTGTCCTGCTATTTACCCATAGCCGGGAGAAAAAATGGATTCATATGTTTCCCAAGGATATTAGCATGTAAGTGAATGTAATGAACTCAATTAGAATTCAAACTCAGCCATCGCCCCCCCCCCCCTCAAGTCACTATCCATTACTCTCCTGCGCCACCTCAACCTATACTCCTGAAATCCAGTTGAGCTCTCTGTGGGGAAGAGTTTTTTAAAAACAGCAGCTTCTACTGCTATTTAACATTACCCTTAAAGTTTGAATCGAGTTCTCTGAGGTGCTGGCATATTTTGAATAGAGAAAAACATTAAAATTCCCTTCCTTTCTGGCATGCAATGATGGCCTAGGGGTAAGATATCTGACTGATGTTAAATCAGTCAGGTTTAGATCCCAGCTTGAAGCAATTAGACGTTTGAGGAGCTGTGATACAGTGAAACAGTCTGTCTGTGGATGACTATATATAGATAGATAGATAGATAGTCATCCATATTTTTTTTTTTTTTTTAACAGTAAAAAAAAATTTTTTTTTTAAATACATAAATCTGTGTCTTTCCAGATTGGCCGATACATGCCCACATATGTTAATTTCCCTCTCCAAATTTATCTCCCCCTCTCTTTCCTTAAGTCCATCTCTTATTTCTTGCATCTTTATTTCTTCCCTTTTTCTCTATATTGTTTCTGGTGAATTGACTTATTAAATAGGTCAATGTCTGATCCTTACCCACCCCCTCCTCTTCAATATTAAGTATTGTAATAAAAATAAATTTAAAAGCATTCATATCTCTCCCTGAGATGATAATATTGATCGAAGGAACAGGAAAATCATTTGGTATACACCCCCATTTAACCAAATGGTTAGTACTAAGTTAGGGCAGAAGTTCCGCCATTCAATTGATAAGCATTTCCCCAGAAATAATCCACTCAGTAAAATATTTAAAAGAAATACACTAAAACTAAGATATAGCTGCACTGATAATCTGGAAAAAAGTTATAAAAAAACATTATTAAAATTTTAAACCAATATAAAAACCTGAGAAATAATGGAAATTCCACAGTAACTAATGTTGATAATACTAACTGCAGAAATTTTAACAATTGCCCATTGCAAAACAAATGTCTGACCAACTCT